CACACACACACGCACACGCACCGGGGCTCAAGGGGTCGTGAGGACCGACAGTGGCTGTATCGGAAATAAATGAAATCGGAAATAAATAGGAAATAAAAGGGAGGCGCGAAGGTGGCAGGGCGGCAGAGCCACCCGGCCAGCACCGAAAGGCGGTGGCTGTCCGGCTGTCCTGACCGCGGCTGTCCGGTTGTCCCGGCGGCGGCTGTCCGGCTGTCCTGGCCGCTCCGCTACCTCCGCCCGACCCAACCATGGGGAAGTTTCAGTGGCGGAGCCCATAATTGTACTGCTTTGGTGCTTTGTTGATGGCTCAAGTGGCAAATGGAAGGACAGGGTGCCATCTACTGAGGCAGGTCCTTTCCTGCAGCTGGCCTTTAAAAAGGGATGTCAAAGCAGTACCTAAGGGTGCATGAATCTGTTCTCAGCCTATGAGAAAGATAGTTTCAGGCATTCTTTTTACCCTAAAGAATAATCTGTAAGAAGCACAACAAATGAGTAAACCTCTATCTTGTTTTCATAGATTTTTGTTGTTGTTGTTAGGACAGTTCTTAGGAGAGCGGTGCCTCTGCATGCAAATGGAAAAAGGTCAGAGCTGGACTACTAATACAGCGTTTTGGGATGATGGGAGCCGCTGGATAATCAGAGGAGGTGCTGGGAAATTAAGCCACTCTCAACTACGAGGTTCTCAAAAATAACTGCTAATGTCATCAGATTTTCAGTGACTCCAGACTGGACTTGGGATCGGTCATTGTACAACTCTTTTTCGTGCTTGACTTCAGAAGTAGGTAAAAAAGAAAATCAGAACTCGGCCCAAGAATAATAAACTTAAACAAAAGACATAAGGCCTAAAGAAAATAATGTCCTTAACATTATGTCCTGCGAGAGTCTGGAGTATTTCAATTATGGAAGAGGCACACCAGTGCTGGAGGTACTTCTTCAGCAGCGACGATTCACACTGAAGTGTGAATTCACACTTTTCACCATGCTTGACAAAGCATCTCTGTCAGATAATAAACCAGCATGGCCGGGGAGCACTATCAAGTGCCTCCTTACCAAAGGTGGTGTTCTCTGCAACCACAAATTCATTAAAGAGCTTGGGAATTTCCTCTTTATTCTAACTCTGAAGCAATTGCATTGTTACTGCCGTTAACTGGGTTTGATGCCTTGCTTGAATATGTCTTTTTAATGAGGCCTCTCAATTCCACCTAAATTCCATGTAAACAACCAAAGCCTTTCTTGCCTATAACCCAAGATGTATCTAAACCTCTGGAGTGGACTTAAGTAGCCATTCAGGGGACAGTCTCCCGTGTATCTGCAAGGATTAACACAGGGAACTCCAAATAACTGGAGATTCTTGTGTATGTCCTTCACACATTCAGTGCCCGAGCAATGGAAGTACCCTGCACTATTCAAATTAAGAAATGCATAAAAATAAATGTATTGAGGAGAACCTTACCATAAAGATAAACACAACAGTGAGAGCAGATAGCATAATTTACATCAATACGCATTTCAGCTCTATAATTACATCTACCAAAATAAGATGAGAGATTTAAAACAGTTGTGCCAAATAAAAAGCAGTGTGACATAGGTAGAACAAAAAGAGGAAAAATATGTAAGAGTTATGGGAAGTTAAACAGTCTATTAGATCTAAACTTTAAAATTACAGACTATATCTTCTTTACTATAATTAATGATAGAAAATTCTCCCTCTGGCACTTCACTTACAAGGAAAAAATAATTTACTGAAGCCCAACTCATTGTAACTGCATAGAACTGAAAAGAACTTCCAGCAGTCCTTATTTTAGGAAGATGTAAGATACAGTAGCTGGAACATCACTAATCCTCTTGTGCAAAATATACATTAATTCTCTTTGGAAAAAAAAAAAATAACGTGTCCTAGCCCTGAACTCACTTCAAAAACATAAAAATATCACTGTTATTTTGAAGAAATAGCGCTAAAAATATTATTTTCAGCAAATAGGGCTGTGACTAAGTCCTCTGACATGGAGCGCAATTACAGATGACTCACTGAAGAAGTCAGCAGCAGTACGTGTTCAGAGCCTCAGCTCTGAAGCTGTGTGTGCTGATCCATAGCTTCTTCCTTCTTCTGCCTGTCAACCTCACGCATCTCGATCTGCTTCTCAACATAGAACGTCAGTCCGAGAGCCACGCGCTGACAGAGGAACAGAACAACGCCTGTGCTTGTTAGACCAGAGGTCCAGCTCTGAACTAGTTCCAGCTCCCACCTACATGTGTTGGAGGTGAGGGAACCGAACCTGCACAGTCTTCACAACACAGGTCAGCCACACAGTCGTGCAGAGGCACAGCGAAGGTCCCAACTATCTGCTTTACCCTTTTCCCAGTACTGCCTCACATTTCATTCACTTTCTGTCTTCTGAGCGTTTAGCAAACATTTTTATGGAACTGATCATTCTCTCCTGCTTTCTCTTTCTCCTCTTCTGACCAGCTATTTATCCATGCAAGGGCCTTTCCCTTTGCTGTGTGGCTGCTTACAAAGCCTCTTGGAAATCCAAGCTTTCACTCACCCCACTATGCCTACAAGCATCCCTGGCCCTCTTCATCCAGGTACCGCTGCCCCTTCGAGACAAACGACTCCTAAAACTGGCATCTGAACGAAGCTACACCAATCATTCTTGTTCAGTAACTCATCACTTCCAATAACAAGAATAATTAGTGTAGCTCAATCTTCAGAATAAAGTCTGCGTTATCCCCGTAGCTCTTTTGCACTTTGATCCTCTTCCGCGCAGTCCAAAAGGAAGACTCGATCCTGCGCGTAGGAGGCGCTGAGCCCATTCCCAGGGGTTTCACTCGGTCTCTTCCCCCCTTGGTGGACACGACCATTCTGCTTGTACGGATCCCCTTGCAGTATCAGAAAGTTTGATCTCAAATCCTTCTAGAAAGCAACCGTGTTTCTGTTTGTTTTGCAGCATGCTTAGCATCCTTGTGTGTTTTACACTGACTGCAGACATTCAACGATTTAATGGTACAGTTCTGCTTATTTATCCAGTACTGAGATTGCCTGAATAAGCTACATACTATTAAACAAAACAGTCAACCTTGGTATCCCCAGACCCTCTAACTATCCTGAGCTGAACAAGTCACTCTTAGGAGCTTCAGAAAAGGTTGTCCAACACCCTAGTTTTCTGAATTATTTGCCACCTTTAGTTTCAGCTACACTACTTCCAGAAAAGCTGTTACTGCAGTTCCCTTATCCTAGTTAGGCACAGGAATTGGTAAAGGTCTTACAAATTGGTAACATTATTACAAATGAGACAATTTTCCTTCTGAACCCCAAAGATGCAAAGCACTCCCATAAGCTTCAAGATTTCTGTGCAGCAAGATTTTACAGTTCTCTACACACCGATTTTTAACATTTAGCCGCTGGCAGTCAGACCCCCTCGCCAACAGGCTATCCCCGCCTGCGGCTATAAGGGGATGCTTAGGTAGCAGTAAGGGCAGGATAAGTATATATCATACTTTCCCAGAACATCCTTCCACCTTTCAAGTATTTTCAGCTCAAGTGAGTTTCTGAGCTGGAAAGCTGTATTTAGTAGCCCTCAATGAATTTCTCTTCCATCTACTAGTCCAGCCTTTCACTTACCAATGCAGACTTCAACATTGCTTGGCAACAAAGTCCACACATCTTCTACCCGTTCCGCGAAGAATTGCATCTTTCTCTCTCTTTTGAACCCACATCCTGCTAGTTTCATCTGATAT